TATGGTATCAATTTTAAAATAATAAATGGCCACTCGTTCTTGGATCCCCGTGGAACTCTGTGACCAACTTTTGAGCATGGATAAGAGAAATTTAAATCTAGTAGACATATCAAATTCAGACCACACTGACTGATACTAACGTTGTGTTCTAATCGCCTTAGTAAAATACTGTTGTCAGTGGTAATTGAATTGATCATTGATCATCAATTGATCATTGATCATTTGTTACCTTACCAGTGCCGTGTCTGTGCTATGGCGCACTCTAAATCTGGACTGAATCTTTGCAAATTATCTGTTCTTTTGCAATGATTATTTAACTGATTGACAGTTAACATCTCCAAATGTTTTGAAATAAAAGTAGCTAGTAAGAACTTTTCAAGTAATAATTTAATTACAGCCATCTTAATGAGGACAGATTAATCATACTTGTGTAACACTTGTAACAACAATTTTTCGAGGACAAACAAAGATGGAGAGTGGAAAGTCATTTTCAGTCTCCATCATGTTAACAGTGAAGGAATCACTTCCTTAAACTTAGTTATCACACATGTTTGTCTATGTATAACTACAATCAAAAAGTACTGGGTCAGCTAGACTGACAAACCCATATCATGAAGCTCCCAGCATAGTGCTGATGTTAATGCTAGAGAACGTTTGTAACTCTACAGCATATAACTGACAACCGACTACATGGCTCAGGACTCAGCAACCCTGCACTGCAAATTTACGTGGTCTGTCACTTCATGGCTGAGTTGCTGTGGTTCCCAAATGCTTTTCCTCTGCAATAATACTGCTTACAGTTGATCATGGAATATCTAGGAGTTAAGCAATTTTAGATGTGTCCTTGATCCAACACAGCTGATTTAAATGGCTAAATTACCTCCTCAACATGTCTTGAATGTCTCCAGAGGCCTGGTAATGAACTAATCATCATATTCAGGTGTGTTGACCCAGGGTGATATCCTGCAGGACACCGGCCTTTGAGGCCTGGAGTTCCCCACCCCTGGTCTATATAGTGTAGATCAGGGGTGTTGAACTCCAGGCCTCGAGGGCCGGTGTCCTGCAGGTTTTAGATATCACTGTGGGTCAACACACCTGAATGAAATGATTAGTTCATTACCAGGCTTCTGGAGAACTTCAAGACATGTTGAGGAGGTCATTTAGCCATTTAAATCAGCTGTGTTGGATCAAGGACACATCTAAAACCTGCAGGATACCGGCCCTCGAGGCCTGGAGTTCGACACCTGTGGTGTAGATAATTGCAGATGGTGTTTTTATTGCAAGTTATGGGATTTTGATTAGCAGAAGATTTTGAAACTTACAGAATGATAACGGTTTAAAAACCACACAGGATATACATCAATAAACCTTACCTTGTTAAAGAGCCTGACAGGAGCAGCTACTGAACCTGTTTCTCTGAGGTAGTCAAACCATTTGAATGGGAGTTTAGTGTACCCTGAGAAACACAGTATGTGTCAAGGTCAGAACATAAACAACCCCAAATTTTAAGGTTCCAAAGTGAAGAAAAAAAATATAACTGTAGAGTACCTCTAGGGGGTGTGAGTTCAATGTTATTGATTTCACAGAAGCCAACAGGGAAGATGGAAGGGGAGGTGCCATGGTAGCAGAACCAGTCTGATCCATCGACTGCCTCTGAGCCATCTACCCCAATCATGAGATATCCATCTGCCAACACCTATATAGCAGAGAGTTATGTCATGTCAACTTTAATGTACAACCTAAATTCCAAAAATGTAGATGCTTTTCGGGAGGAGGTTTTCTGCACTTTGAACAAGGCTACCGGCCTGAAACTAGCTCTCAACCCCCTACTTGCTCTCTTTGATACAGCGGGAGAGGATGATAAGCATATTCCAAGAGCAAAGCGCAGGGTGCTGTCCTTTAGTTCCCTCTTGGCTAGGCGTGCCATTTTGATTGGCGGAAGGTTGCTGCCCCGCCCTCCCATGTTCGGTGGCTTTCTTTTCTTTTTTTTTTCCTTTTTTCCCCTTCTTTTTGTTTTCTTTCTGTTTTTTTTTTCCCTCATTATTTGTTTGCTAAATAATAAGAAAGGAAAACTGTTCCAACATGAGAAGTTCTGTTTTGTATTCATTGTAAAGTTTGTGTTTTCCACCTTTTTTTCTTTGTAAACTATATCCACAAATACTCAATAAAAATATTTAGAGGAAAAAAAAAATGTAGATGCAACTAGAAACAGAACACAATCAAATCTCATAAATCTATAATCTATTGACACCTGAGGACAAAAAAAACAAACAAAAAAAAAACAAAAAAAAAAAAAAAAACCCAAAACAGATTGAAGGTTTAAACTGAGAAAATATACCATTTAAATTTTTTTTTCATTTTACAGCAGGAACCCCCACTCCTCACCCCTCACCCCTACCAATTACACCCCAAAAACATTTGGCTGCTCCATTGTTCATAAGGGGTGACTCTTCACATATTTGATTTGGCAGACTTTATATGCTGGCTGCCTCCTGACAATCTCCAAGAGATCATACCAGGATAAACCACTACACTATGGAGCTACAATTTGATGGCAGTAAAGCCCCTTTTCCATTAGCACCTACCCAGATCAACTGGCCACGGATCGCCACGACCCAACTTGGATGGTTTTCCATTACAAAACACTAGTACTAATGTACGTGACTGTCGTCAATAGCAACACGTCCACGCGTCCTGCCACATAATTAATAATGGACAAGAACACTACAACAAAGGTGGACTTCGAAGCTAGAATGCTAATGCTCGGTCTGTGGCACTGTGTTAGACTCTGGGAACACTGTGTTGTTTCTGTATCCATTTCTCTCGTTTACAGGTTTAAAAAAAAAATAAAAAAATAAAAATATGAAGGTTTTGATTTAGTTAACAAGAGTGCTCTCATGACTCATCAAGTGATGCTACTGGCCAGGTATTCGGTGGCATGCAGTTTGATAACTTTAGATTTTTTAACCTGCTTGGATTGCTTGGAACCCCTACCAAGCATACTGGTGGTACGTAACCACCACTTAATTAGTGGATGAGAAATAAATAAATTATCAGTGGTATTGAAAGTAGGTGTACACAAAGTTACATCTGCAAGGTGGTTATGAGTAATTTTTTCTCTAATGATATTTTAACCTTAAGTAGTGATGACTTCTTGAATTTCTTTATAAATAAAGGAATCCTTGGCTTAACAGAGCTGACTTTTGGTCAGCCTGGCTACAGTGCTGAAGAGAAACCTATCATTCTTATTACCTTTAGTCAGTGATGAGTAGTACGATGTTCTACCTTTACAGAGGGCTTTGTTATAGAGCAATAATCTACTTTTGCAGGCTAAATGATGATCTCCTAAATTAGTTAGATGCCATTTCCTCTGCAGCTTATAAGTTATCTGTTTTAAGGTGCACGTTTGAGAGTTCTAGTCAACTACTTTTGATTTCAGGCTGTATTTTTCAGAGGTGCTACAATATCTAGAATCATATACAGAAAGGAAGTACATTTAATAACAAGACAATGTACTTCTGTGGAAATAAAGTTCAGGTAGCTGCTCTCCACTGTATTGGCACGTCACATTGAAGATAACAGTGGTGCAATTATAGCCTTAATTTTAGAGCAATCACAAAGATATTCACTGTGTTGAAACATTGATTCTGTTCATCTGGACGTAGTATTTTCAGTGGAAGAAACATTTCATCACTCACCCACCAAGTGACTTCTTCTATCATTAATATGCAAATTGTCATGACCATTGATCAACATATATTCAAATTTCAATTTGTTTGACCACAAAACAGTTTTCCACCTTGTGTAAGTCTATTTCAAATGACTTTTGACCCAGTGAAGATGGTAGTATTTCTATATCGTGTTGCCATTTGGCTTTGCCGTTTCTTAATAGCCAACACAATGTTACTTAATAGCCTACCTGCATTTGTGTATGCATTAGTGAACCCCTTGAGAATTCTGAGAAACACTGGTTATACTGGAAATACTGGTTACACTGATAATCATCTTAACCTGTTAAGATCAGGTTAGGGTTAGTGGCAAAATCTTCCTAAATGCGTTTCTTTTTAGTACCACTTCCTTTACCAGCCTTTTGTTGCCCCTGTCCCAAATTTGCCATGTTGCTGCCATGAAATTCAAAGTGAGCTAATATATTTCATCAAATAGTAAAATATTTAAGTTCAGACATCTGTTTTCTATGTTTTATTGTGAATAAAATAAGGGTTTAGGAGATTTGTAAATCATTGCATTCTGTTTTATTTACATTTTACACCATCCTGACTTTTGCAAAATCAAAACTGGCTTACCTTTCTTACAGTAGCTACACATATAGCTGAGAGATTGAGGGGGTCAATGGCTTCTAACTTCATCCCATCTTTGAACCAGTCCCCACTCTGGTCCACTTCCTTCGTCTGTAAAATAAAAGGCAGACAAGTGAAAAGAAAATAAGAAAGATAAATTTATGAAAAGAATGCAGACAGTTAGGGTCATCCCCTTAGTGAACTTGATTAGAGTGACGGTACAGTAAGCGGGCCTGTTAGGTTGAAATTGTTAAATGTTGTCATTGTTTTATTTAAATTTGTAAGTTTTGTAAGTTTCTGTCCTCCTCCCCGGACTACATCTATGTGGGGGATGCAATAGCTATAGTGTTTAATTGTAGGGACATCCCATGTGAGAGTTCTGCTTTCTTATTTAGTGTGGATGTTTTACTTCCTGCCCTTTATTTACCTGTGCTTGTGTATGGTGAGACTGTTAAAACGGGGTTGAGCCATATACAGGGGGAGGGGAGATGACCCTTTGTGATCAGCAGGAAGTCACACAAACACATCCACACACAGTCACTCACGTTCACGTGCACACACACAACCGAACCGAGCACACCGGTTAAAGCTGTTCGTCTTGATTTCTTCATGGGTTATGAGTCTCTGAACTACCTCCTGAGCTACGGGGGTGGCTGTAGCTCAGGAGGTAGAGGTAGAGCAGGTCACCTACTGATCGGAAGGTTGGTGATTCAATCTGTGGCTCCTCCAGTCTGCATGTCAAGTATCCTTGGGCAAGATACTAACCCCAAGTTGCTCTCCGATGCATCCATCGGAGTATGAATGTGTGTGAATGTAGTTAGAAAGTACTACGTATAGAGACAGTGCTTGTGAGAATGGGTGTGATTGGGTGAATGTGGCATGTTGTATAGAGCGCTTGGAGTACTCCGGGAGAGTAGAAAAGCGCTATATAAGAATCAGTCCATTTACCATTTACCCAACAGGGCCCCAGAATCAACAGTTTGGAGTAGTTAATGGGACTAAGGCATCAAAGGCAACAGGCTGTCAAACATGCCCTACCTCCACCCTGATTGGAGGATAACTGCACTGCCAACACTCATGGACATTACACCTTATTTATAAACCGTATGCAACCAACATCCCTACCTCTTTAAACTGTATTTATTATAACCTTATTTAGTATAGTTGCAACTGTACACACACACACACACACACACAATATATTTATATTTTTGTATCCGTATGTTTGCAGGTGTATGTATAGATTGTACATATCTTTTTTTGTGTAAATGTAAATTTGTCTGTGATTGTACTTCACACACATGGAGAAATGCCAAACTGCCTTTCATTGTTCTTGTAACAGTGACAATAAAAGCTATTCTAATTCAATTAAGGGTGATACATATGTGATGTTCATGGCTAAGCAACAGTTTGTGTATGTAAATGATCTGTGTACACAAACGTTTCTGGAGCTTGAAAAGGACTGTGTGCCAATGTCATGCACCAGGATGAAATGATAATTGAAAAGTCAAATGACAGAAATGTAGTATCCATCTCCATTTTACGAAGTTCCAAATGGAGTAGTCAACATCATACACACAGAAACAGACAGACAAACCCATGCATGTATGAGCAAGAGCACAGAACATCACTGTTGGATTAAATGCTTTTATGAGGATTAACTTCATATTTGTTAAACTACACAATAACATTTTGAATAAATAGCTCTTTCCCACCGAATCTACTACATAAGTATGAAACTTAAATTTTGGTACCCTTATAACACAGGGCTACCATGAGGCAACAAAACAAATTTTGCTCGAGAGTGGAAGAGACATATTTCTTATTATATTAACAGGGACCCCCAAGCACTTAAGAAATTAGGTTAAAGTTTTTTTTTCTAAAAATAAAAAACAAAACTATATACCATAAAGGGTTATAACTTTCAATGTTTGTTATGTTTGGAATTGACAACTCACATTGAAACTGCAACATTTTATAATAGGATTGACTTGGGAGTGCACCTGTAAAGGTTTGTGCCTCCAGGATCAAGGAGTAGAAAAATAGACACTATGGGGACATGTTTATTGTCTGAGTCTTTAAACAAGTATTTAGTAACGTTTAAAGCCGTATTTGTGCCATTTCAGTTAAAAGCAACACAGTATTATTTGATTGCGAGCTTTCTTTCAAAATGTTGGTTCACAAATAATGTTTTAAACTTGCTTTTTTGATGCTAAAAAAAAAAAAAAAAATCCAGTTCATTAAAGGGGACATTAAAGTAAAGAAAAAGATGTTTTCAGGTCTTTTTTCCACTTGGATTTGAATTTAAGTGGAGTTTAAAGATTCATTAATCCTGTATTTATTCATTTTGATGAAAGGAGTGCTTTAATTTTTTAAATATAAATCCAAACCAGTCGTAGCACTGTTATGTCTGGCTGAATACTCATCATGCATGTATACACACATATAGTACATCACGTCTGTGTGTTGAAAATCTTCCTAGCTGAAGTGTGAAATCTGCTTTTCAAAGGGGGAAGCTTGCAAGGGAACAAGGACTTTTAGTGGTGGTTCAGATGTGGGATAATAAGGATGAAATATATTCTGTTCTTTTGCCAAGTCTTACCTTCTGGAAGAGCTGTGGAGGAGCATCGACTTGACCATCTAATTTCCTTGTTATATCTAGAATATGAATACATGAAAATGACTTGTTACACATAAAGTGGGCATTGTTGTAAATTGTTGTAGTCACGTGTGTCAATGAAGATTTCAAGTAAATATTGACACACGTGACCCACATTCACACCGGACTGTTACTTGATCAACTATAACAATTTTCAAAATTCACAAGTTTTGATTCCTCAGACTCCTTACAAAGTGAGTGTGCCTACCAGATCGTTTGAAGCGGTGTCCAATGCTTCTTGACCAGCCTATATTATGGATAAGAGGGCTATACATGTGGCACCAGAAGTCATCAGCTCCACCCTGGCTCTCCTCATAGACCAACCTCAGGCGACCTCCAATCACTTGCTCTACCAGCGCCACCCGTGTCCGGCTGAGATAGTTCTTATCGACCACCTCAACTCGCATTAGCTTCTTAAAGGGAAATTGCATGTTTTGCTGTACCTTCAGTGAAAAATGAGTGACAGGTTTACCAAACCAAGATGAAATTTAATAGCCAAGGATGAACAGAAACAACAACGTTTTATTGTAATTTTAGGTTCAGCAAGAACACTTAAAAATAAAATAAATATATAAAATGCAGCTTTACAATACTGGGCTGATGCCTTACCATATCATTAAAGTTAGGTGGCAGTGTTTTAGCTCCAGTGAGGCGCTTCACAAGAAACGTTTTCCAGTTAGAGTACTTATGTTGTATGCCTGTAGAGAGCAGCAATAATTAACCATAGTGATAAAGAAAACTTAAGTGATTTGTTTGTCAAAACACTCACTTTTTGGAGGTACGAGGGGTTTGCCACTTGAAGCACACCATCCCACAGGGTGAACTTCAGGTATGCAGAGGTTACACCAGAAGTCTTTACTTGTGTCACTGTCAAAGCCCTCATAACGCAGGAGAGCCTTGAACCCTGAAGAACAAGAGGAAACACTGTTAATGTGCGCACTAATTCTTGTCATCAGAAACAGTAGATTGAAAAATTGACCACTATCCGCGGTCAGTTTGCTTATTCTATATTCAGCTTCTTGACTAGTTGGAGAAAAAAAATTTGATACAAAGACCGTATTCACATGTGGTATAATCAGTGTTGGGACTAACGCGTTATTAAGTAACGCGTTACAGTAACTACGTTATTATTGTGGTAACGAGCACGGTAACTAGTTATTATGCCAAAATCAGGAACGCGTTACTCGTTACTGGGATTTAGATAGGCTCGTTACTTCGTGTGGTGGCATCGCGGAGCTTCCACAGATTCAATAACATTAGCAAGTGGTGGAGGCAGCAGGTGGATGAAGGAAAAGGGAGGCAAGAGGAGAGACCCGAAGCGGCCGCTGGTCCGAGAGTGTCAGGTGAACTGAACTTCAGGTAAGAAGTTATGACCTGCAGTCCATCTGGGTCAGATATGAACCAAGTTTAGGTGGAGTTTATTTTCGTTATGCTGACTTTTTCGTACTGCGTGCTAGCTAGCATGACGGAGTTTCTATACAGCTGGGTGGTGCTATGTTACTGATGTTGAACTTTATTTTGTTCATAAGGTTAATTATTAGAGTTGCCAACCGTCCCGTAAAAAACGGAATCGTCTGTATTCAGAGAAAATATTACGCGTTTCTTATTGAGGTGAAAAGGAACAGTTTGTCCCGGACTTCAGCTACAATGAAAAAGACACAAAGCTGGAGTTATTCTGTGTTTATGCTGCACAGCTGCCTCTTCTTCTCTCATCTCTCCCCCTCCCTCTCCTGTTTCTACTTCAATCATGAAACTGATCAATGATCAGCTGATCGGCTTTTCTCTCTTGTTTGTTTATCGCTCACTTTGCGCCAGAAAGAGGAAACCAGCGGATGTCGCGCTAAACAACAGCAGCACGTTTAAGCTTGATCAGCTGTTGTTAGAATTTATTTAATATTAATTTCTAGTATCAGCTGATGTTTGCTGGAGCCACAGCTGTAAAGCTGCTGGTCATGATGTCGGTTTGGATATCTGGTGAGAGGGAAACATGAAGATGAAACCAGGAGATGTCCTTACTGAATCATCAGAGCTGTGATGGAGAAACAGGTTTACCTTTTAGGTGACATGAATGAGTTGAAGGGAAGTTATGAAGTAAACTAGTAAGTAAGTAAGTAAACTTTATTTATTAAGCGCCTTTCACAGCGCTTAATAAATAAGCGCTGTGAAAAGTGCTTATTTATTAATACTTAATATATGAACACTTAATAAATGAACTGTTTCTGAGAGACAAATAACACCAGGATCCTTTTCTAAGTAGCTGACAGCTGGTAACTGTGCAGGGGCGGGTCTAGCAAAGTGTTGCCAGGGGGCCAGGTAGGGCATTAAAAGGGAAAGGGGGGCACAAGGAAATACTTTCTTATTCTCATTTAAAATGTCTCACTTTTAAAAAAATAATTATCTGAGTCTTACAACAAACGATTGATAGATTGATGCATATATACCATCAGAACAGTGAACATCACTGTCACAACAGCGTTTATTTTCATTCAAAGGCTTTATGATTTTTCCTATAATGGTGTCAAAATGCCCGGGCCAATTTTCTGTCCCAGTCCAGCCCTGTATGCAGCTCATCTGCAGTCTGGTGTTACCTACATCTTCCTATTCAGAAGGCAGAATTTCCGAGTTCTGAGTACAATCGAAAGCACCACGACTGCAGTTTTTGTGTTGGATGTAAAAAGCAGGCTAGGATAGAATCAGGCGTGGGATTTCTCTCGTGGAAATGTGCACATTATTTTTTCCTTTCTATTGGTAGGTGGCACAGTGCACTTGTGGCAAGTAAGCAAGCTAGAAGACTGGCAATCTTGCTGGGTATCCAGTTACGGAAGCAACACATTAACAAGAGAATTCTGAGTAAAACCAAAGTTACTTTCCCTAGTAACTAGTTACTCTGAAAGTAACGAGTAACTTGAAGTAACTGAGTTACATTACTAGTTACTTCTATCAAAAGTAACTAAGTTACTAACTTAAAGTAACTTACCCAACACTGGGTATAAATAATGTGTTATTTCTCCTCACTGTTGGTGAGAAAACTATTTATACTGTATCGATTCCCTTCCAAAGGTTTCTTTCTAAACAATCTCAGAAAATCACTTCTGTTTCAGTGCTGAATTTCTTTAACAGCTCATAACAAAGATGTCTGAAGTGAAGCCTTAGTGAAGGAATGGAAATCAGATTGTCCTGTAATTTACACATAGATGATAAATACATGTGACAGCTAAACATACCAATGAATGTAAACATCTTATTTTTAAGGTTTTTTTCCCCCTCTGATGTCAACTTGCACATTTTATTTGTTGGGATGTGGACTGTCACATGTGGAATGGGAGAAGGGGTTTGTTGCTTATTTCTTTGTTTATGGTAAAACTTAAAAATCAAATACAGACTTTTATTAGCTCAGGTAGAGGGATACATCTGGTACTTTCATCTATGTGTAGGTTTGTTGCCAGTATTGTCATCAACACAATTGCTGCCAGGACAAAGCAATAAACCTTGACAGATATGGGTCTGACTAATGAGGATGATATTGGCTCAATTGAGAATGAATTTTTAAACTATTTTAGTACTGTAATTTAAAAAAATAAATAAATACAACTATTCTTGCAGCATGTCAGTGTGTAGTATTAAGACCTAGAAAAACTTAAGGCTACAACTTTACAAGGTTGGGCGATATGTCAGATTTTTCCAACCGGCATTCGTCAGTCCAATAAATGACGATAGGTGATATATTTGCACAGGTGACTTTTTGAATTTATACGTTTTTTGGAGGGAATATTTCACTTTCTTTTCTTGTTTGTTTCAGTATTAATATAGGTACGTTCTTGATTAGTCATTTGTTTATTTGAGAGGCACCAAATCGCACAAAAGACTTAACTTTACGTCAAAGATTTTTTTTATGTTCGCTGGAAGAAACATTTTTTAACATACGTTTTGTATCTTGTTGTTTGGTCGAGTGTGTAAGACAGATAAACATTGGAAGAGCCTGTAAACACGGTTAAAGTGGAAAAAAGAAACCAGTTTTTCTTTGTTTCCCTGCCCAACATTGTATTTTTTTATTTAAATAAAATGTTTTTGTTTTTTACTGAACATAGGATACCGTCTTTCTTTCTTTCTGTTATGAGTTTGTGTAAATTGATCGCTGCATTTGGGGGCACGCTGAGGAGGGTGCCATTAAAACAGCGCTATTATTGTTTTTGTTGACTTTTTCTCTTAGCTTCAATCAACATTATTAGCAAACTTACTAACGGGCAAATAAATAAATTGCTCTTGTAAAAACGATTGGCGAAAGGCTCAGCCTATCGTTGATGGTTGATAAATTCGTCCAATCACCCAACCTTACTACACCGATTCTGAGTCAACTAGCAGCTGCAAGTTCTCTTTTATGTAAAGCCAAATGCCTCTCTTGTGGTTCACTGTCTCATCAACAACAACTATTGTTGTGGAAACAGCGAAACTAACTGTTCAAATGTTCAGTGTGACTTTTACATTGGACTTTGCATACATTTGCCATGTTGTGATGTACTTATTCAGCATTAACACTTACTCCTAACAGAGTTCACAAAAATGAAAAGACACAAACACAATTAAAAACACCCCAAGGGTTGTGTGAGAGATTTTACCTTAATTACTTGTAGTGTTTACCTGCTAGCTTTATGATTTCTGCTATCCAGTACACCTTGGTGGAGAAGTTGGTATCAGAGTTGGGCACCTCAATCCTCACACCTACTTCAATATCTCCCCAACATGTTCCCATGGGGGCCTGAGGCACAGAAGTTATCAGCTATGATAATCATAGTATCATATCAGTGGTGACCATATTCTCAGCTCCAGCTACTTACATGCTTGAAACAGCTGACAGGAGCCCCCACCGTGTTACTGCTACAGATATACTGCCCCCAGTCAAAACTCTCTCCAGCGACCACTGACGGAAACAACAATTAGTTTGTTGCTTGTGTACATCAAAAAGAGCAGAAATATGAGCCCCATCATGATTGCTTTTTCATAGCCTACCCGCTTTCAGTTTGGCCTGGTTCTGTTGACTTGCTTGGTACTGGGCATAAGCTGCCAACTTTGCCATGAGAGGCTGTTTCTGTAAGACTTTGGCCTTTTTTGTTGGTGGTTTGCCCTTGTAAAAACCAAAGCAGATGTTAATATTTACATAATACAAAATTATGAAACTACTATACTTGTTTATCAAAGATAATGCATTTACCTGGAGTCTTGCCAAGATGCTAGCTTTTTTAGAATTTGAGGAATAACTCCTAGAACAGGACACACTGCAGAAACGCTTGGTTTTGGAGTAAAAAGCATCTCGTACACCGACCATCCCACACATCTCACAGGTGGCTGTGAAAACAAACCGAAATAGATCAGCAGTCTACAAATGGTAAATGGCATTTATAGTTATCCCCCATAAGTATTTGGAAATTGACACAATTGCAATTTTTGCTCTGTACGTGGTAAATAGACTGGTTTTTATATAGCGCCTTTCTACTCTGAATACTAAAAGCTCTTTATACATCTTTCCTCATTCACTCATTCACATCCAATCGCACAAGCACTTTTTTATAGGCACTTTCTACCCAACAGTCATACACATTCATTGCCCGGAGAACAACTTGGGGTTATTATCTTGGCCAAGGATATTTGGCATGTAGAATGGAGCAGAAGGGGACCGAGCCACCCCATCACTACAGTGGATTTTAAATTAACCAAATGTGATACAAATGAAAATTTTCAGCTTTAATTCAAAGGGTATACCAAAAGTAATGCATTAACTGTTTAGGTAATTCAATATCTTGGCCAAGGATATTTGCACATATGAATGTTGAGGAGCTGAGAATCAAACTAATAATCGTTCTACTTCCTGAGCCACAGCAGCTAAACGTAAACACTATTATTGTTCACTCACAGATTATTATTTAAGCAATACACACAAAAAATAAGCCTCATGTACTGACCCATTCCAGCCTTCCCATCAGGGTAGGTGTAGACTTGTCCATTGTTCTTGATGATGGGCAGACTAGCAGGGATAGAGGGTACCACCTCATCCTCACTGTCGTCTGAGCTAGAGCTGCTGGTGGACTCCTCGCTGCAGCTGTCATAGCCATCAAACATCCCGAATGAGTCTCGTCGCTTACGATCTGAACGTGGGGTACGCTCAGCCTTTACAGAGGACACAACAGAGAAACACTGAATGAATTCATATGGATGCTTTTAGGGGTGTCTGTAGCTCACGAGGTTCTCCTCTCCATTTCTCCGTATAATGTAACACGTTTACTTTGGCGTTGTTCATGGAGAAAGCAGTGAAATTGGTCTAAGACATAGGTGTCAAACTCTGGCCCGCGGGCCAGATTTGGCCCGCAGCCTAATTACATTTGGCCCGCAAAGCCATACCAAATTATTATTAGAGCTGGCCTACTGGTATTATACAGCTAATATATATATTCTTTAGTATTAAGCTTTGCTTGTTCCATATTCAGTTTTTCAGCAAAACTTGTTTGAGTCCATAAGAAGAGATTCATTCTTAAATCTGGAGGAAGATTTTTTTTTCAATAAATATTAATGTTAGCCCGCGACTTTGTTCCAGTTTTGAATTTTGGCCCACTGTGTATTTGAGTTTGACACCCCTGGTCTAAGAGAAGGTAACTGTTCAGAAAAACATATTTCATTCAAATCATTTTATTTTACTCCATTCCTTTTGAGTTATTTTACTTTACTAAAACTCAATAAAAGAAAAATAATTCTTTTGAGCTATTGCACTTTATTTTAACAGCTCCTTACAAATGTCCTTGTTCTGTGGTCCTGGAGTTTAGCCACACAAACTAGCCAAACATTTGTCTTTAGTGCAGAAGAGATGCCCAGTTTATTTATTTATTTATTTTTTTAACAGCGGTGCTCTTATTCAAATTAAATATACCATGGTTTTTAATATTAATAAAATTAACCTTTTCTTTAAACATATAATTAATGGTAAAAGCACAGCAATAATAGTGCCTTAAAATAATTCTTATTACTGTTAATCTCAATCTCTGTGCGAATCAATACAAAAAAACGAAGATACTTAAAACAACAACTTCTGTGAGGAGGCCAGAAAGGGAATATTGCTCTAAGGCATTCTCGGGAGTTAGAAAGGGGAAGAAAGGGGGAGCAGACACAGTCTGCAATAGTTGCAAAAGAAATAGTTTGATTGCAAGGTTGATGCAAAATATAATAATGGACCAGAAGAAAATAAAGATTCAAATCTTCTTAGTTCACATTTTTATTATTTTTGTAATCAATATTATTTCCTTTTTTGAGCATTTGTAAGATGTTTTAGACAAATGTCAACAAAAATCAAGTCCCTAAGCTAAATTTTAGTATTGAAGTGAAGCTGAACTTATTTTAGTTGAAAGATGCAGTTTTACAGTTCGCCTTTCATCATTAATGCATCATTTAGATTCAGGTAGGAAAATATCAGCGAACCATATCTGAGTCAGCATGACTTTTTTCGAAACGCCCAAACGTCTAAATAAATAAATTCTACGTGAAAATATGGAAGTCTGATCACAGGATCCGGAACAATGCGTACATGTTGTCAAAGCTAGTTTACTTCCTCTTCACAGCATCTCAGCTCAAACATTACACTACGCACAACAGTTTAACTTAAAAAAAAAAATATATATATATATATATATACATATATATATATATCAAAACACCCATTTCCAAAGACATCCTTCGTAAGCTACATTTTGCATACATATATATTAGAAAAGTAAACTAATACCGAAACTAAAATAAGGGACGGCCTTATTACAAACACCTCCTAAAGCTAAACAGCACTAGCATAGCTAGCTAGCAGAACCTGTTTCTCCAGGGTTTTTTTTTTTTTCCAGAGCAAAGCCTTTTTACGTTCGTCTATTATATAATTGCAATAGTTAGATTTGTAAGAAAACTCTACTTGTTTTGTTTTTTTTTCAGAGAGAGAAAGAGGCGAAAGAAAGAGCTTTAGTATTATGTGTAGATGGGTGAGCCACTAGCTGGCTATCGTAAACAGATAACAACAAAGGAGGCGTACTAGCCTGAACAATCCACTGGAAACGGAGGCTCGCGGCCCAAAAATGTTTCAAACCGACTCACCAAATCCCTTGCGTTTTCCATCAGCCCTTCATATAGATGCTCTTCCAGTTACCTGCCCTTCCTAATTCAAACAAATCCCCTCACCTGGGGTATAACCTAGCTTTGAATTTTAGTCTAAATACTACCAACCAGGATATCAACAAATTACTCTGCAGCCTCTGCGCATGAGCGACCGTAACCTACTTTCGTGTGATTGGTGGATCTGCAATGGAGGTCATCGACCGATGCAGACACAAAATAGTAGACTTCGCGCAGTAACTGAATGAAAGGGGCCTTCAGAACAACTACAGATTATTAGTCGGTGTAAATACAGTAACGTTACAGTAATTTCAATGGTTTTGTTTTGTTTATAACTAGCTCCTGACTTTCATTTGGAATTTTTCCATATAAAAAGAACTTCAAAATAAAATACACAAGTATTACATGTGAAGTAAAATAAACATTTTATTAGGATATAGTGACATTATTACATTTTCGAAGACAATCTTTCTTGTGAAAGATTTCTACAGTAGATGTAATATGTTCACACTGAACAAAATCTGAGAACCACATTCAACAACACTTTAGCTTTTAACTTCCAAAATATATTCGCTTAAGCCTGATAATGGGCATAGTTTTTTTTGATATACATACAAGTATAGCAAGAAACTAAACAATATTAACCACAAACCAACTGAACTTTGCTCCAGTAATTCCAATCACAGTGCTTTTCAGTAATAATACTGGCATTCTAGATTTATTCCTTTCCCTATTCCTTGAACACAAAATTTAGCAAAGCAGAACAAAACATTAAACAAAAAACAAAGAATTATTTGCTGAAGTAACAACAACAAATGGATAATGGCTGGAAGAACTGTGGCACACTCATCAAGTAGGTAAGTCTTCAGGAAGAGGGTTTATGTAATCAAGTTTAGGTTAGGCAAAGCTCTATATCATCATTAGGGCTGATGCTGAGGAGTAGATGTTGAGGGCTGCTAAAGAAAAGTTAATCATTTTTAGACATAATGGTTCACACAAGAGCGTTCACTAGCAAATGTTCAGAATCAGACATCAAACTGGGAGAAGATACCTTGGTTTTTTTAAAATATCTTTGGTCTCACAGCAACTCGTCCTCCACAACATCATCAACACTTCCTGATATAGAGGCAGCTTCTGAGGTGCAAGAAGGAAACACTCAAGTTAACAATGACTGTAACAGCAGCTTCAACTCTTTTTGTTTATCCACCATGGTACAAAAGCTTGACTGAGAGTCATAGTGACACCGTTCCTTTGTTTCACTATGTTATATTTCCTGATTTGTTAGAGATAAACTACAAATTGCACTGAATACAAGTATTTGGAGTATTAGGGTCAAGTTAATTGATCCTAATCAAAATGTATATTGTTGTGTTCATTTCTTCTTGAGACACTTTAGAAAGTTGATTTAACAGAACTGCATTCCTGTTAATTTTCCACCACATGGGGGCATACACTACCTCTCTGTAGGTGTAAGAAGTGTCCCAAGTCAAGTATCTGATCCAATGTGGACATCACTTGGATATTCTGTTGTATTTAGAAACCTAGATAACATTTTTTACTTCAACATACAATCCCAGTAACATAAGGGTATGAGGGTTACTTTATGATCGCTTAAACATAGTCACTGGCAAATCTACAGTTCCATGACAGAACTCACCTGATAAACTAATACAGGAAAGACTGAGCTCTGATGATGCTCCTATTACATCATCCTGTTGGAAGAATAAAAGTGATTAGCCGCTGTTAAACAGTCCTCCAAACTTTCAGAACAGAAGTAAGGGGATTACCTAATCTCTCAGGCATAAAGATAAATTAAAATAATAATAATAAAAAATGACAGAGTACCTTGTCGGATACAGTTGGACAGAGATTAATATACCTGACAAGCACACCCAAGAAAACTAGAATGCTAGAGTTGCATACCAATAAGAAGAAGCAAGATTCTTTATTATTCTTTTATTAATGTCTTCCTTCACATACAGAAGTTCATATAAACTCATCATGTGCATGAATGCCATTGTAATTCTGGACTTGACTGATGATTTCTTTTAGCTGTTCTTTTTACAAGGGTGGAATAATCATACAGCATATATATTTTATGACATTAAAAAACAAAAATTGGGTCCATCATTTGGAAATCATTTTGGATATTCTCTAATCTGCAAAAGGTAAGAATTATACATATAGTGTCAAATATAAACATACACTCTCACTAATATTTGGTTAACTGTCTCTTAGCAAGTTGTACCTCGTTTAATAGCCATCAATAAGCTTCTGGCATAATTCTGGCATTTAGTTGCAGATTTGAGTCAAAGAATTTGAAGTTAACCCTCATTTTCAACATTCAATCCAATTTGTGCAACAGTACCACTGGCACAGTGCAGTATAAAGGTACATCAGACCAAGATGAAGTCCCTGTTGCAGGAACCTACAGTGCAGCACTAAGGATCTGGATTTGATCCTGATGAGATGCATGAGGAGCCTAGTCCGGAATTACCCAGTAGTAATAGTCCAAATGGTACAGGTGGAATGGGCCCAGCCAGCTAGAAGACTAAATGGCATCAGTCTTGCAGCCATGACTCACCTGCAAATCATGGCTGCAAGTCAGGGTTGTTGTCAGTCAGTGGAGGTTAACTGAGGGAGTCTGGATTCCCAAAAATGAGAATTCCACAATCATCCAGCAGTTTTGATCTATCTCTCTGTTCAGTGTTGATTTTTCCAGGATTTTTTCCCGCTGGCTTACAGACGTCCTGTTCAAGATTAAGTATATTGATACCCTATTTTTGTCCAGGAAGAAGTAAGAGACGCTGGAAGACACGAAAAGCAGAATGAGTAACTTACCAGCATCATCTGCAGACAGCCAAGATTGCAGCCCTCTTTTTTTCCATTCAAATCTTCATGGAAGATAACGGCATAGCCCAATCGTATAAGCTCCTCTCCAACATCCACAGCCTTTTTTACATGATATGCACATGGAAAGAGGAGACAGGGTAAAGGACAAACCAAACACAGGCTTATTAAAGTCTTATTATTAAGAAATAAAATCCTATCTAACCTTGCCCTCACTGTTGTCATAGAGCTTGACACTGGGCCATGAGGAGATTTCCGAGTGAGAGTAGCTGCACAGTTTGGCCTGTAGGGGTCTCCAAGAGGCACAATATGTCAGCCTCTCAAACTGATCCAGGGCTTCCTCAGTCCAAACCCCTCCTGCATGACAAGTTGATGGAGGAAAGAAACTGAAATAATCAAGAATTCAAGAATAATGCACTGCAGAATACTAAAAGACCTAAGGGCGTCAGTATATCCTCTGCATTGATTGTGCCACCGTAACATCATCGCACAGTTAGTTTTATTTATGTTCCCCAGTAAGATGAGTCTGAGTGATATAGCAAATGTAGTTTTTTCAATTATGATGGTTAAAATGGCTCTATTGTAACCATCGAGTATAAACTGCCATGGTAATAATAAGCTGTCTGCAGTTTTTTTTCTCCCACATGCTATAAATGCATCACTAATCCCACCCCCCAACCACAAATTTTTCTACCTGGCACACTGCACTGAGCATGCGTGTTTATATACTACCAAATAGGGAAAAATATGGTGACAGTGAGAGTCTCAGACAAGCAAGGAAATGAGACTGTAACTGAACAGGAGCCAGACAAGATGGTTCCAAAGAGAAACAGCACTGGATCAATAATCTGGCAGTGGTTTGGATTTCCCAAAGAGGATGTCGAACCTAAATGCGGAATGTGGTATTTAGTACTAGTGGAAATGTGGTCACATGTCACATGGCTTCACTCAAACCTGGAGCTTGTGTTTTTGGCACAGAACTTACACACCTTAAACACAGATGACAGTGTTCTTGTTCAGGAGTAATAAAGTCACAATTCTTGATTATACGTTAGCTTCTGTGAATTATTTTACCGCTTTGCGCGGTGTGTTTTGTTGTTTAAATTCTAGAACAGGTAGCGCGATCATTATTTAGATGGTTTTGAGATGCTCTAATACCTGTGATATGACTGTTCTTGCTCCGTTTTTTTTGCAGGCACTGTCTGAACTTGGAACAGTTTTCCATTTTACCACTTTTTGTTGTTTAAACTTCTTAGCACATATAGAGACAATAGTTCTGAGATGCTCTGATACCTGTGACAGTTTTTGGTCAATGGTTTTTATAGACACTAACTACACTTTTGTTTCTGTAGGTCATCACATTTTACAGTTTTTATATGTTATAAGCACAGAGAACACCTTTTTAATTTCAATTGTTTTAAATTTGACTTTTGCTTACTTTTTTTTGTTAAAGGGTTAGTGTTGACCACAGAAAGACTGTGAGAATATTGTCATTTGTGAAAAACCTCTGTGTGCAACTGATGGTTAAAAAATGGTTAAAATAAAACATATTTTTTGGCTATACACGACCAGACGAAAGAAATGGCCAAAATGGTAATGCCAGTTGATGTGATATGAATTTTATTGCACGACACAGCGTGACAGGAGGTAAGCAGTGGCCATAAAAGTGCCCTTATGTCCTCATGTACCAGCAAGTGTGTGACAAAGTGTGTATAAGTATATGTGTGCGTTTGGGAAAGAGTGTGTATGTAATGCTGGGCATACACTGTGCGATTTTTGGCTCATTTTGAGCCGATTTTTCAGTCGTGCGACCGTTTTGGTGATTCGTCCGAGTTTCGCCTTCATCGTGTGTCGTGTAGTATACATGGGGTAACGAGAAGCGATTAACACCTCAGGAGCAGCTCCCGATCATCAATCGCTTGGTCGTAAGAAAATCAAACCTGTTTGAAATCCTGTCAGCCGTCGTGAGGGTGTCACCGCAGCCTCTCAAACTGCGCACGCGCAAACACAGAAATGAAAGTGAAAAGTAGGGCTGCCACGATTTGTCGACTAGTCACGATTACGTCGACTATCAAAATCGTCGACGACTGATTTAATAGTCGACGTGTCATTTGAAGCTTTGTAAGATTGCAAAAGACACAGAAGTAGCAGGATTTAAGAGTGTAATAACGGACTGAAACAGAAGATGGCAGCACTGCATGTACAAGGATGCCAGCTGCCGTTAAACCCCGAAGAAGAAGAAGCAGCTGTGTCCCAGAATTCATAGCGCGGCCCAGCTTAGTTTCCAACAATGGCGGCAGCTAGTTAGTTTTAATATTACTCTTATTATTCTTTCTGGGTCACAAAATAAACGTTTAACATATTTTCAGGCGAGAATGTAGCTGTGTAAACCTCAAATATCTGCTCAGTTTATCAGGACACCACATATTTTCAAAAGCACT